ACAGGCAGAGCTACAGGTGAGGTAAACAAACAGGCTGCGGTTTGGTGTGACGTACAAACAGCTGAGAGGTGTTATGAAATGTTTCATCTAAGAAACAATAACAATCTGCCATATATCTCCAACACAGGCTGCAACTAGCAATTATGTTCATTATGGATTCATCTTCAAAGTGTTTTCTGAATATCAAATTGATGATCTGATGAATGAAAATCAGAAAATAGAGAAAATGCCTGTCATAGTTTCTTAGAGCCAAGAAACATTGTTTATTTTATCAACAGTCCAAAACCCTGAAGGCAGTCAGTTTAAAGAGGAGGGAAAAAATTCATACTTGAGAAGCTAGAGCTGGTTGATTTTTGGCAGGATTAATTGAAGGTAACAATTTTAAGCAAAGATTTCTGAAGACTGCAACTGTTGAATACACCTCTAAGACTGTTTTATGTACATTCACAATCTTTCAAGCACTTGCTGGTTTTAATATAAAACCAAGTATCTGTTAATTTTGCTTACAAAATGAAATCTACTTTATCCTAAAGTTATCACTGACCCAAGTTGCAGGACAAACCAACGACCCAACAAAACAACCAGACTGAACTGTTATACCTCACATAAAGGGGCACTTCACCACTTTCACACATGAGGATTAGTTTGCTGGTCATTAGGAGAGCTACTCAGCCTGAGAAAACAGCTGTATGATTTCTTCCATGGCTCTGGAGGGGCTTTGTCAAGTCTGAGAGAATAATCCCTAATGATGTCACAGTGATGTCATCATCTCTGCTTGGGTTTGGAGACCACAACTTTACAACAGAAGGCATTTATTTCTAAATCTGTATTTTGAGAGTTGTCCAACTGCGTGAAAGTTCAATATCACTGGAGATCAGCCCAAACCTTGTTTCATTTGTTCCATTTCCGCATGTTACCTTCTAGTTGCTGTTGCTGCTTATAGTAAATTATAGTCAAAAGTCCTGGTCCTGATTGGATCACATGGCCTACTCTGCATTTCTCAAAGTCAGGAACCCACATCCACATTTCTGAGGTCAATTGTCCGAACAGCACCACATCCACAACAGACATCAGATATCATCCACCACCAAATCTGTTGTCGTAGCAACAGTTCGATGTGTCTACAGTGAAAAATGTCAATAACTCTGATGCTAACTCATCAGTAAAATGATACAGATTTGTAAGTTTTTAATATTATTTGTAGTATTTTTCTTCACAAACAATCATGAAACCAGATGAATTTTACTTTGATGGTCTGAAACTTTCAGCAACATGAGTTAAGACACAACTTTTCACCCAACTATGTAATAATATATTTTGTATTTATAATAATATTCTTGCACATTAATAAGCACATATGATAGAAATCTGGACTAGTGTAATAAACAATTCTCCACTGTGACTACGTTTACATGCACAAAATATTTTTGTGTTTGCCCTCATTTCGAAAAAGACAATATCTACCTGTTTACTGGCTAAGCTGTTTACATGGCATGAAAATCAATATTCTAGTAATATTCTCGTTTTCATGCAGCCATGCATACTCTGATTGACGTACCCTACCATGTCATTTATCACGTTAAAATGTGAAAAAAGTGGAACATTCTTTTCCACCAGTGGCGGACTTGTTCGACTGTGGAACCACAGCCTCCCTCTTTCATTCCTTCAACCATCTTCTTGAAAAGCTCGATGTCATGATATTTGCGTATATCTAAAAACCTGCTAATATCCATGTCTTTTACTGTTCTTAAAGTAGGTGTGTTTCTCCTTCTGATGTGAGCTTTTTTTGGGGCATGTATCTCTTCACCAGCCTTCAGACTGTTGGGTCGCACAACATATCCATGACAAGACACAAAGCTGACTGTAAACGGGCAAAAGTTCACAAACTGCGGTAAAAACCCCAATTGATATGCATACTCCAAATGCACTGTAGACATGTCCACAGAATGCTCCTAAAACCCAAATAATATTGACATAGCTCACATCTTAAAGGTCTAGTTTGTATGATATAGTGCCATCTAGTGGTGAGGTTGCAGATTGCAACCAACTGTAACTTCTCCTGTGCTCCAAGTGTGTCAAGGAATTACAGCTGCCAAGGCAAAAATGTGAATGGCCTGATCTGGAGTGAGTTTTTGGTTCGTCCGTTCTGGGCTACTGAAGAAACAACACGGTGTACTCTGTGGAGGAAGTATATATGTATGTATGTAGATATTAACGGCTCATTCTGAGGTATTGCAAATCACAATGATTCTTATTTTTTGGTGATTTTAAACTAATGAAAACATAGCTATGAATATTATATTCCATTTCTGCCAATATATCCCCCTTAATCCAATACACTGGGCCTTTAATCAGAAAAAGCTTTATTCTGAATAAGGCCTAATTTGAAATATCAGAGTATGCCGTTTACATGATCAAAGCTGTAATAGTGTGCAACATTCTGAGCTGTCACCCTGACTGTGACATCAGTAACATGACCAGCTGATCCAACAACTGTGCAGCTATGGTGAATGGTTGACAGTACAAATGACATGAGAGAGATGACGGCAAACAAACAGCAGAGATACAGAGGGATGTTCATTTGACTAACTGTAACGAACAGTCTGGTAAACTGCTCTCTATATACAGCAGGCTTGTTGCATGCTCTACAGCCCGATAATCTCTCTCCTAATTGCTCCCCATCCTTTGACCCTGCATATACCTGCTGCTGTGTGGAGGTTAAGCCGAAGCTTGTGAGTTAGTTGAGGTGTTGAGGACTGAGATACAGTCCAACCAGCCCCACACACATTTTCCTCAACAGTGTGAGCAGACTGGCAGCTCGGTAGCCTGCCTGTACATGCCTGCTCTGTGCTGCTGTCACCACGCCTTCAGCCCCAAACAGCACAATTACCTTGCACTCAGTGACAGAGTTCATGGTAGATGGTGCTGCTTCTGATGAATCAGTCAGGGATATCAGTTAGGCCGTCCGCAGCGCAGACTGATGTAAACACACATGGCTCTTGTGATCTTTTTTATAAATCTTGCAAAGGTGTTAATGCAAAGAAATGAAGTGAAATAAAAAGACAAATACGAAAGTCAATGAACAGAAACTATCTGGCTCAGCAGCCACATTTAAGCCCTATAGGAGGATGATAAGAGTAAGGAACTGTGTCGAATAATAATAATGTCAGATGTAATTCTTACCACCTGAGCCTTGATTCTACGGAGAGAACAGGAAGGTCCTCTCTAAATGATGAATGCTGCTTGTAAATTTGCAGAAGCTACGAGGAATGAATGGCAGCAGAAAATGGAGCGGAGCCTGCGGAGGAATGCAGAAACCCACCTAACCACCTCCCACAGGCTGCCGGGAGAGCAGGCACACACATGTGACCCAACCGACCGGCCTCAGGAAGAGGTGGCATTGCGCACTGCAACTACAGAGTCACACTGTGTGTTAGAGCCCCTGCAGTGTGACTGCTTTACAGCCCCCACATCAAATACATGAATGAACCATAAAATATCCCTACATGGGCCAGCATGAGTAATGACCTTGTTGCACTTTTCAGATTCCCTTATCTCCTGAGATATCCCTATATTTCTACTATTACATTCACACACTCAGTGTCTGCCTGCAGGATTCAATGGTAAACTAACATTGGTCTCACTGTACTTTATTTATTGAGGTATTTTAAGTATTTTAGTATCTCTGTAATATCCATGTGGTGTTCAGGCTCAAATTATTTGCTGGGATATTTATGTCTTTTGATTTTATAATTGAATACTCTTTTTTTTTGTATTGTTTATTCAGCTGAGACGGTCCCACAGCTGTTTAATATTAACAGTATCAGCATCTGTCTTTCTCTTGACATACAATAGGCTGTTAGTAATGACAAAATACAAACTTGGGACTATGAAAAAAAGTGTTTTTAAGAACATAGGCTTATGTTTATGTGCCTCTTTTTTTGTCACATTATTTCACCAATGAGAAAAAGACTGCAGGTCAGAGGTTTAATTGGTCTCACAGTTCCTTAAAGCGTTTCCAAAGTCAACAATTGTTCAGTTTCACAATTTGCTCTCACCATTTACAAGGAAATTAGCACATTAAGTTTTACAGGCTGCACTTTTAAAAAACTGAACTGTTTCTACAAGGTCCTGACAGCATCATTTCCAAAAATCTTCTGATACTGAGCAAATTAGCTGAGGCAAGGGAGTAGAGGTCGTTTCAACATTGGGGGTACGCATATGAAAGGGAGGTTTGGGGGTCCTCGACTGGGGAATTTCGAGCATTAAACACTTCTTGTTTCTGTACTAATTTGTGCCTTGCATGCATCAATTTGTGGTAGAAATATCTTTTATTTTATCAAAATAAAAGTCCTCAGCTACTGTCATGTTTTTATTGGAGAGGGGGCTCATGCTCTGGATATTGAGGGGGACTTGTCTCCTATGTGTCCCCTATGAAATCTATGCCTGTGGTTGAGGGTTATCAGGGCAAACAGATGGATGCAGAGGATACCATTAAAAATCCCATCTGACACCAACTTTATAAACTTTTTTACTTCCAGGCTGCACATGCACATTACTGTCACGTTTCTACCTGCCCTTAAATCCTTTAGTTTCACACATAAAACTTATTTTTCACATGTAAAAAATGTTTCAATTAAGAATATGAAATTTCACCTATATGGAAAAGCTGCACCTTTCCAAGAAGAACATGTGCTTTTTCACTTGTGGGTGAGGTTTTTTTTTTTTGTAAAGGTCTTTGCGGGGGGATGTAGCGGTGTTGGTAAGTTATTAAGTCTGGGCCAGAGTGAGAGAGAGAGCGTGCGCGTGTGTGTCTGATGGTTAACAATTAACCTGAGCGGCCACTGAGCCGGAGGGAAAGAGGACAGAAGAAGAGTGAACATGTGAAGATGAGGAGGAACAGAAGGAGGGCAGGTGAATGATAACAGCGGAGGTGATGAAGAGTGAGAGATGTGGTCCGCTTTCTAAGATCAAGAGTAGAAACGAGGAGTCCAACTTACAGCCAGTTACTCGCGTTGGCCGAGAGGAGCGCGCAGCAGAGCATCAGGACGCACCGCAAAACATATTCCTCGGTCATCTCGAGAGGGAGGTTCGGGGAGGTCGGTGAGAGCTGAAATAATCCCGAGGTGGACAGGGGGTAGGCGGTGAAAAAGAGGCAGCGGCAGGGTCCGTGGAGGGCTGTTAATCCATCGTCCCGCATCCAGTGGATCACCCACCGGGGAAGCGCGCAGCTTCACGGTCCGTCCGCCCGGTTCTCCCGTCCCTCCCTCTGCCACTCCGCGCTCAGAAGGGACGGGGAGAGGGGGAAGAGAAGGATGCTAAAAATACGATCAAAACTCTGGGGCCGCTCGAGCTGAATCGGACCCTTCTTCTTAATCAACTTGTTTGCTTTCACTCTCAGCTGCGCGTCAACGCCAGCCGGGACAGCGCGTGGATAAGCAGTCAATAAAAGCCCAAAAATATGAAGGAGCTCTTAGACAGTTCTTCTTCCTCTCTGGAAGCTGATCACCCGGTGCCGGGTCCTGCTCTCAGACACGCGGGGTTCTCGTGTCAGCGCGCCACGGGCTCTCCAACTCTCCCCGGACACATGCACACACTCTGAGCGTAAATACGCACGGCCCCTGTTCACACACCACCGTCTCTCGGTGCGTCTGGCAGAGGAGAGTGTGTGTGCTGACTTTAGTGAAGGGGCGGTGCGAGGATATAGAGGTATGGCAGCGAGATGGGAGTTTTTTTGGGGATGAAGGAGGCGGGTTTAGTGCGCTGCTAAGGTACTGTGTGTGTGTGTGTGTGGGTGTGTGTGTGTGTGTGTGTGTGTGTGTGTGTGTGTGTGTGTGTGTGTACGGGGACAATGTGTGTGTTTTAGAGGTCTCCTGGGAGGATGCAATAGCACAGCCATTCACTAATGCCCTCCCCAGCCACCCCCACTCCTCTCCAACACATACATAAACACGCTCTCTTCCACTCACACACACACACACACACACACACACACACACACACACACTCCTCAAACCGCACACACTTCTTGGCAGCACCTCACTCTCCCTGTCACACACTCAACCAAATATTCTGCGGTCAACGGGCTATTTAAAGCTTGGCTGCAAAATGTCTGCATTTGAAACCAGCAAATCCCCAATAATATGACAAATGTCAGCTATACACTATTGATTGATGAAAACGTTGTAGGAGGATAATAAGGTGAGGCAGCCTCACTGGCCTCATGGAGGCTAATACAACCAAGCACTTTATATGACTCACCTGATCCTGGCGGAGAAGAAGAAGAGCGAGGTGGAGGACTGAAAACTGATATTTTATTTACATAACAAAAAAATACACGAGAAAAATACACATGCACTTTATTTATTGTACAGGAATCCACACTGCCTCTCATCCATCACTGCAAATGACTTTTTCTAACCCACAGGACTTTATTTTTAACACCAGTGAGAATCCCAAAGTTTCCAAATATACCAAATATGTCAGACTGAATTATGGGTAAAGGTGTATAAAAAGAACAAACATGTACTTCTATTGAACATGTTGCAGCCATGAGAAACAGGGCACTCAGTAAAAGCATCATTATGAAATGATAAAACACAATGAAGATGAGCTGTTATGTGCTTTTATACCTTTAAGGGTATATTTGAAGAACAAGACAGAGTCTGAGAAGTTCATTTAAGACAACAGACCTTTATTCAAGCCGCAGGACATTTAGTGCCCAAGATGCTCAACATTCAGAGTAAAAGAAATCCTGTACTTGAGACATGTACATACATATAAATATACAGAGAGAAGACAAGAGGAGATCAATCTTTATTCATTCCAGGAGGGAAACTGAGTATTACAAAAGCACCAAAAGACCAGCTATGATTTGCCTTAGATTTGTGTATAAGTGTGTCTGTGTATATAAAACACATATATATGTACTGTACATACATATATATGTGTTTTTTTCCCTCTGCTTATATTAGTATGAATCCAATGAATATAATACATACATCTGACAAGAGGAAAGAAAATCCTTTATTGATCTCCAGAGGGGGAACATTGGTGTTGAAGCACAAAGATCAAAGACAGAGAGGAATAAATAAATAGAGAGAAAGTAAGAGATTAATAAAAATAAAAATAATTTGAATTAAAAAAAAGAATTGAAATTTAAAAACTGTAGTGTAGCACAATAAAGAATTGCTAAAGATATTTTATTATATTACACCAGCCAAGTTATATTGTATATATAATGTAATATTACATTTATTTTTTTTAATTTAACCCTTATTCAACCAGGAAGTCCCATCGAGATTGAACATTTCACAAGAGAGACCTGGCCAAGGTAGCAGCCAATAGCCAGCGTCAGTGTAAGAGTATTATATTATAATATAAAACAAAGTACCATGAAAACATGCAACAGAGAAGAATATATGGCAACTGATGATATATATCTATGTCTCAATCAATATAGAAATAATAGAATATAGTGTATAAAGTAATTATATAGTATAATATAGTATAATGCAGTGGTTGTCCACCTTTTTTGTGTCAAGGACCACATTAGGTCTGATCTCCATTTGATAAGATTTCGTGACAGGTAACTCCATCTGAAAAGATATGGGTTGTTAGATCTGATTAAAACCAGAATTCTGTAGTTGTTAACTACAGTTGAGGAGATAATTGTGGAGGAAGTGAAACCTATGATCACAATAGTCACTATTAGGGCTCTTACTCACATTGTACTCTCTCTTGCACTCACTTTTACAGCAAGTTAAATAGTGAAAATGAACTATTACCCATTTCTCTGGGGACCCCCTGGAACTCCCTCACGGGCCCTGGTGGTTGAGAACTACTGGTATAATGTAATATAGATTATAAAATATTATATCATAGATAAAATGAGATATTAGGTATATACAATATTCAGTAATCGCAGTATAAGAGCTGTTTAGTGCATAGATGCACAGCAAGGAGCTATACATTATAGTAAATACATAATAAAACCTATGAAAATGTTTGCATGATTGCAAATAAATCAATAAATATGGCGCAAATTAATTACTCCCATGAGTCTGGTGGTGCTATTGGTACCAATTACGCTTTGTTCAAACCCAAATTATAGTGAATTCTATCAGAGAGGACTTACCAAACACAACAACTATGGGCTGATGTTTGGATGAAATATGTATTAAACAATGCATACAAAATCTAAATGGAATGATGCAGCCATATAAGATGACTTTTCCAACCGTAAAGCTATAGGGGAGAAATATGACAGGAACATTGGATGTGAAGTGGTTTGAGACCATCAACACGTATGTTAACATGTGACATCAGAGCTGTTTCAGCCCTGACCTGCAGATGTGGAAAGAACAAGAAATAACATACACAGGAGACTTGAGCAGCAGCCGCTCTTCACACATGGGCTGAGTCTTAAGCTTGTATGTGTGTTCATGTGTGGGTGGTGGTGGCGGTTGAGGTTGAGGTTTGGGTTGTGTGTGTGTGCGTGTGTGTGTGTGTGTGTGTCGTCTAATCTCATTTCACTTATTGGGTTTTAGGGAGCTAAGAATACACCCTGCTGGGACGAGACGCTGCAGCTGCGCCACCAGCTGTGTGCAGTGTGGCTCCTGGCTGCCAGACACGCACGCGTGCGCATACACACACACACACACACGAACACTGTAGCATTGAGTAAGACAAGTCATCTGTCTGATTTTGGATACTTAAAGATAAGATAAATGTGTATTTTTCCCTGTGGGGAGATTTTGCTGCAGCAGCCAAACTAAATGAATTCAGCGTTGGAAAAAAAGTTGAATATGAGCCCAAATACAGAGTATCAACTAAACAGCGAAAACACCAACTGACAAGGGGCTCTAAAGTTTTCTCCTCATCTGAGCGGAAAGTCTGCAGGTTCTTCAGAAAAAGCCGCAGAGCCGAAGCCTCTGGACAGCAGAGCGGAGCTGGTGTGGGAACCTGCTGACCTACATTCTGGGCTGACAGTTCCTTCCAAACTCCTGCTCCCACTGAACCCATTTCTGCTTCACAATGAGACAGATGGCACCTGCACCGAGCTCAGGGGAGTGTGTAAAGCTCACCACGCATTACGGAGTGAGACTGAGAGCTGCCGCCGCGCAGTCTGCCTCTGTGAAGGCTTCGGCATCCAGAGGTGAAACCAAATGAAGTGGACAACATCCCTGAGTGCATCCAGAGAGTTTCTCAAAGGGTCACCTGCATCAGCTCTGCTGCTGATTGGCCAACAGAGGGGGGAAGTGAGCAAAGGAGCCTGTTGATGATCAGCAGGATATCAACAATTCACTGAATGCTCTTACATGACTGAAATGTAACCTGCCTCGTTATCACACCACCATCTTATACAGCTATGGTTGACAAATCCTTGATTATGAGTGAGAAATGTAGGAAAATGTGAGACTGGTAATATTGTTGTAAGACATCTACATTCAAGCTTTCCCTAGAGAAGAAATAAAAAAAGAAAAGTACTCGATTAAAGAAAATCCTACAATAAATTGAGTTGCAACAGACACATATGAGAGCTGCAATGTCGAAACCAAACTAAATGGCTTGTTAATGGATACAACATGTGCACAACATGAATCAGCAGCAGCCAAACCAAAGTGAAATGAAGTGCAACGGAGAGAGTGTGCCCACTGTGTAAAGCGTTTTCAAATAATACGGTTGCTTGTATGGCAGTTCAACTAACAGTTGATTAGTGGAAGAAGTATTCACATCCTTTCAGTAAAAGTAGCTATGCCACACAATCAAAAGTCCTGCATGCAAGTAAAATGTGTTCATGCTGTGGAATCAGTTGCATTATTTTATTATTATATGTCATATAAAGATGTCACTTCTTGCATTTAAATGTTGTGCGGCTAATTTAAACTGTCTCATAAACCTTAAATAAAGAAGGCAACTTTGATCCATTAGCAATCCTCAGTATTCTGTAAAATGATCATGTTTTGTATTTCAAATCTTAATCTGTAAAGTAAGGTAGGATAAAGTGCACCTGTCAAGTAAGTGCAGTGTAGTAAAAAGTGTTTTCCCCCCTTAATGTTCCATTTTGTAGGATTTAGTGGGATATCTATTGGCAGAAATGGAATATAATTTTTACAACCACGTTTTCATCAGTGTACAATCACCTGAGAGAAAGTTTTATTGTGTTTTTGTTATCTAAAGCCCCGTTTTCACCAAGCAGTATGGTATGGTCCAGCTCAGTTTGGTACCCATTTTTTTCCCGTTTCCACTGTGAAAAGTTGTGGATGGTACCAATGGAACCGTTCTTTACCGTCCGCTCTGTTGGGGTACCTAGCACACAGATCCGGTACCAAAAGGTGGAGCTGTGAACACTGCTCTCTGTTGATTGGTCAATAGCAGATGGTCACTCTGCTCAGGGCTGAGTTGTGGCTGGTTTTGAGGCTCATGTAACCACTGGTCACGCCGTGGAGAGTTTTACATGTATTAGTAAATTATAACTATAAAATATAGGATGTTTTGCTGCCTCGCAGCAGCTGTAGTCTGGGAAAAAATAACTTAGTTCAATGGGCTGACTGCCCGTGACTTTTAAGGTGGAATGTTTACTTGTAATGTTACTCAATGCATGAGTTGACAACGTAAATCTATCACCACACCT